ACACTTTTATTATGTGGTACCTTTATTTATTGCGCAGGTTTTAGAAGCTGTAGAACTCTTTTATATAGATTGCAGGTTTGCTCATGTTTCATTTAACTTAAACACAGCTGTCTAAACATGGAACTGAACTTGTGAGCTAGCTTTTATGATGGTCTTTGGAGAAACAATTTCCTTTCAGAGCAATTTGGTACCATGAAACAAACTACTTTTAAACGTAAAACAAAGCTAAAATTAAAATGCCATTTCATTTGAGTGCCAATAGCAATAGATAATACAAAGCTATTTACAGTTTGTTTGATATATTATGTAACTTGCAGAGTGTGTGTAGCTGTATTTTACTGCCTAGCTCTACTGTTTGGCAAATAGTTGTAAATTAAAGAAGGTATTTTTGTTTTTCCTGTTATGAGACAAACCCCTAAATGCTTTCACTTTGGACTGGCATTGTTTTGTTTGCAAGATGTGGCGAGATGTAAATGTTTTATCTACACCTTTAGGTGCAACACGGATAATACAACTTCATCAGGGCAATTCTACTGGCAAGTCACAGTAAGTGTGAAGGGTTCTTAGGGTGGGGCAGTTTCTGCCAGGGAGAGAGGAATTCTGTATGTTCCTTATTAGTGCCTGCCAATTCATGCCTCCCCATCCTGGCTTTTTTGGTTACCTGGCAGATTCTAAAGAAACAGCTGCTTTCTTATGTTGGATAAAATCTAGTGGCCATCTTGCTATTGCCTTTTGGCACCGATACGCTGATTTTTGTGCAGCACCTTTACAGAATGTACAACACAAAAAAGGTGCGGACTTCAAAGTATATAGGGCTGGAATGAAGGGGGGGGGTGTGTGGAGGAGGAGAGGACTTAAGTAAATGATGTATTTGCTTGATCCTGGCTGCCACCTTAAGAAAGGGCGAGTTGAGGCCTTGTCTTATATGTTTGATGTCAGAATGTCATTTTGGAGTCCACTCCGCCCCTCTTCCTTGATCTGCTTGTGTGCCAGAAGCCGTATCAGATGAATCAGTCTATGGATGGAGGCTCCCGTGTCTCCAAGTTGGTTCAGTTTCTAGCAATTTACAACCTTCTGTTTTCTTAATAGTATTTTAATTGAACAACTCAGGATTGGGAGCAGGAGAGGATCATGAGCAAGGATGATCAGTGAAAGACTAATTTTATTTTATTGCAAGCAAGTTCAATTTTACTTAGTAGGCACATAGATGAGTGCCATAGTGCACACTGGCATAAATGGGAAATTTCCTAATTCTTACTCATAAGTGGTAAAGCTACAGTGTGCTATCACACTTTATGTACAGCAATACATTTTATATGCGGCAACAAAGACTGCATGAGCATACCTAAGAAAAAGTGAGTTGGGCTAACCTGGCGTTCGGGCTGATACACATGCATAAAAGCCAGTTTCTGTAGCGTCAATGACTGCAAGCTGTCATTTTGCTCTGGTTCCACTGCCCTCATCCCACTGGGTATTTGTGTAAAGAGAAAGGCAGAAGCACAGAAGTTCACTTGTGAGGCTCATTAGCAGCACAGCGCTGGCTGTCACCCTTACCACTGCTCTGTCTAGGCTGAACTCTCACACCGTCACCTCAACTTCTTTATCCCCTACAAAGAAATACATTCATTTTATCTCTACAGGCAGATGTGGATGTTTCCCTAGGGATACTGACTGGGTTTGGAAAACAGTATCAAAGCTTTCTATGTTTTTTTACAATACTTTATGCCAATATAATGGAATTTTTCAAGCACAATACTAGTTTTGATTTTCAGAGTATTTTTTATTACTGTTTCAGTTGTACAATTTCAACATTAGGGAACAATACATAATGTACAGTACATAGCTTGCGTTGTTCCCAGGTTTTAAAGACATGTCAAGGTTCAGGCTGCAGAAGAGACTTTACCAGTCCTAAAATGAAAGCAGGCACATACAATACTATCTTGCTGCAGTTAGCACAATCTTATTTGGCAAATATAACAAACATTAGGAGCACCACCTGCCATCAGGATACTGCATGTACCAAAGGATTACTGATGTGGGTCCTTAACCTTCTGCCCCTATAGCACTTGTTCACATCAAAGTTATGTCACTAGAAAAACACATTGTTAAGCAGTTCACTTCTTGGTTTTAAAAGTTAGTGAAAGGGTACAGCTAGAGAAACACCTCACAAAATGAAACTACAAATCTGATATGCATTTTGCATAGTTAAATTTATGTCAGGATAAACTTCGGTCTCTGGAATTTTTTTTTCTTCCAGCCTTTGAACTCTTGTTTTGAGCTGAACAATTACTCAGAACACTCTCTCATTCAGGGTTCAGATCAGCTGCTCACTCCAGATCCCTTTCCATTTCTTTGGTTACTTTCTTTTCCTTAACATTTCCTTAACCCGTTTTTATTCGTCCTACAGCAGACATCCACTCCCTCCCATTTGGCTACTCCTACTTATTTTCTTCAGCTTTTTTCACTCCTCTTCATTCACTTCCATTCTCTTCTGTTACTCTTCTCAACATCTCTGGGCTCTTTCTCATCTTCAACCATTCTGATTTTCTCTTGATAAAGAGAAAATGCCACAGTCGTCTTGTTGCATCCAGTTGCTATTGCTATTTGCGATACCACTTCTAAATCCTTTAAAAGTATTCACCTCTAAGGGCCTCATTCTTTCCACATTTACACATGGATGTAACCCCAATAAATCCAGTGGTTTTACATATAGAATGACAGATGAAAATCCAACCCACTGCCTTGAATCATAGCTGGAAAGAAGAGAGAGCTAATAGAAGGAAACGGAATGAAAAATTAAAATCTCAATGTAAAGTGCACATTCCCTCTCTTGAACTTGCCTTTCTTTTCTCCCCTCTTGGTTTGGAGCTGAACATCTTCACAGTGTGTCAACTTACTGTCACACTTTTCTGTTACAATAACATTAAACAAGCTTGACCACATTTGCTTCTTTAATCTGTTGATACGGGTTATTCTAAATTCCCACTGTTCTCTGCTAAATTATTTTTAACTAGGGCCTGGCATCAGGAAAAATCTGCCTCCTACCTGTGGCACCAAAGTGGGAGAGGGAAAAGAATTCACGTGTGTCCCATGTAATGCAGAGGCTGCTGAGATGAGCACACTTTAAAAAATACTATAGGGCAGGCTGGATCACTGCTTATAGCACGAGCAGTTTTGCAAGCAGGTTTTGCACACCTACTGGGTACAAAGTGAAAGCCGTTCTTTCTTCACAGTCTCTCCGACTTTTAAGTCAAAAGCAAGTAAGTTGTATTTGTGATTGTCTGCACATTATTTTTTTTTGCCTGTCATTGTAACTTTAATTTCTGTTACAGGTTTGGGTTTGTTTGGTTTTGGGTTGGGTTTGGGGTTTTTTTGGTGAAAGTTGAACAAAACAAGCCCCAGTGTTCAGTAGCATAGGGAGCCAAGCCATGTTTTGATGATTTGCCCCAGCCCTAGCATTGGCAACAGGTAGCAACATGACTGCAAATAGACAGAGACACCCTGTTTATACACAGCTCTGCCTGAGCACAGTATACCATTCAGATTTCCAGTCTGCACTCAAGCTCATTACTTGCATACGTTAAGAGCCACTTTGCAAATTTAACTGCACATATTTTTTTAGTATGGCCTTAGGCTTATTTTTCTGTAAAGTAAAACATTTAAAAGGAAAATACTTCATAAAAACCACTACACATTTTGAGATAAGCTAGTGCTCGTGAAAAGTGCTAGGTTAATAATTTTGGAAAGTGCAGTCCTCCACATAGCCAAAGAACATAGACAGCAACAGCGTAGGCATCTCTGATCTGCCTGCAGCAGCTGAGGTGCCAACCCGGGGAAGGGTGATTAGCCCCTGGTTTGATTCTCTGCTGACATATACAAGGATACCAGTTCTGGAGCTGATGGTTGCAATCTGAGCACCTGTCAGTCACAGCATGACTGCTAACACTAACTTAACCTGACATACTGCACAAACCAGCTACCAGTTTTAACAACTTTATTTCTCCCCTTCTTAGTCAACTTTGAATCATCAGCCTTGAGGTAGACGACCAGATATTCCAACACACTTTCCCTGCACCTTTCAGTATCACATATTTCAAGTAAAAAATATCTATTTTGAAAAACTGTAACTAGTGATTTCACTTTTGCCTACAGCATCATCCATACTGTATCATGTCTGGAATGAGCTCTTTTGTATACATTTGATGCTTTACATTTTCAAAGCACATCCAAAAATCAGCTAAATGAGGATTGCATTAAACCCAAAATTTAATCATAGTATATGATTACATGTAATACATATATTATATCTGTATAGTTTTATGGCCAAGTTACAAGCCCCTGAGAACAGAGTTTATGCAGAAACACTGGCACCAATAACACTAGTGGATGCAGCTTTATTTAGTTGTAATTAGCATAGAAAGCACCTGAAATTATTTATATTTTCCATTTATAATAGATTAACTCTTTGGCTATTTTCGTAACTATATTAAGAATACATTTGTTAATCTTAACATCCATCGTAGAAAGATTATATTTACACACAACTACACAAAGCCTTGATGCTGAAAGAGCAAGAAGGGAAGAAAAGAAGGTGCCTGATCCTGTGCCCTTATATACATGGGTAGTGCCTTTAAATCAACTCACATGAGTGCGGGTCCCCTGTTTGAATAGAAGTTACAGGTTCAGGTCCATAATGCTTTATGCATATATGATTTTGACAAACTACTATTTAAACTATTTTTACAAATACATTCTACAGTAACTGTGTCTAGGGGCTCAGGCATCCAGCCCCGTGAGAAACATGAAGTCTGTCCCCTGCATTTTGTACAATCTGCCAGATGGGGCACGCGTCTAGAAATAGCTGCTTTTACAGCTCTGCACTGAAATGCACCTATCTATCTGCCTAGCACAGGACATGATCCCTCAAGCGTCCCAAATCTGCATTAGGCCCCATCATGAACAGTTGCTCTTCCACTGATTTTAAGACTTGGACAAGTGAGTCTTGGTGAAATTCTTAACAGCTTGCTTAAAAATGCAAAACAAGCCAAAACCCAATTCAAAATAGATTCCAGTTTGTCACCCAACTTGTTTGTGTTTTTATATCTACCTACAGATGTTGCTGTTCAAAAAAGAAAGAGATTTCAGTTCAAGATAACAACAGTACATCATCTGTGAAAATGAAACCGTACACTTTTCAGGGTACAGGAGCTTCTTATATAGGCTACATTCTTCATTAAAGTTGTTCTAACACCATGAATAAAATCTTGATTTGCAGCATATTTTAGAAGACAAACTAAACATGTTTGCAATACTTTTGACAGGAAAACGGAATTCTTTCCAAACTGAAAGAATATGAATTTTTCTAAGTTAATAATGACAAAATGTTTGTAGGTAAAAAGTGCAAATTTGTGTATATTACCTCCAAGCATTTTACACTGCTACCTACAGTGAATTTCAAAGCATCCTTCATTTTGATGTGATTTACCAGTTGAATAGTACATTTTGACCAAGAGTCATAAAGTATATTTGACTGCTGCCTCCTGACTGTACAGACGCAAAGAACACCTTGAAAGGGAAAAAAAAAATGCTACTGTCAGTTCACATTTATGAGAATATTTTTACCCGTACCGGAAATCAGAGAATGCCACAGTCCCAAATACAAGGATATATATAATCACAATTCAATTTTAATCCCACGATAAACTTTTTAAAGTGAAACCATGCTTATGGTACAACTTGGATATTTTTTTTACTACCTTTCTTTTCGTATTTGGGAAGACATAAGAGAACATTTTAAAATAATCAATTCATCTAAACAGTTTTGGGGCCCCACTTTTCTAAATACATCAGCGGGACTAAGCAGGTTTCACAGAACATTTATCAATAACTGTTATATGCAAGAAATCATATCCATACTCTAGTGCCTGCCGTATCTCAAACATTAGAACATTGGGGTTTCTTTCCCTGATGGCTGCTCCGAATTGCCTGTAATTTCAGTATCCCAAGAGAGGCAGTCCTGTAGTTGGGCATTTAATCAGGGCTGGCTCACTAGCCCTCCCCACTACACCTCTTGTGCTGGAGTCTGGCCAGTTAGCAATGGCTGTGTTTGTTATCACCTCTGGTATTAGTTAAGGCTGGGTGGAATAGGAGTTAGATCAGAGGTGGCTAAAATAGGGTGGTGTGAAAGTGTGGCATATCCACAGTGAGTGCTTTGTGGGGTCAGTGACTACATTTGCTTTGAATGGGGAAGTTATACTAAGGTAAAAAATAACCAATGTAAAAACAAAGTTACAAAAATAAAATGGTCTTAGTGTCATACTGAACTATTACTCATCTTTGCTAAATCACCATGCTGTAGTCATCTCTGTACCTTGTCATTTCTTTCACATAGAAACTTTAGCTTCTGTGCTTTCTTGTGCATAAATACTCCTTCCAGATTTCCTGTTTCCACAGAGCGTAGTTC